CTGCCCAAAATATAGTTCAAGACGACAAGGCTAAGGAAGGAGAACTTTACAGCAAGCAGCATGAAGTATCACGACGATTACTAGAAAACCGTATATGGGAGGTAGGCTGCTTTTTCCTAATTGATATATGTAGCTGAAAGTGCTAATCTTTTGAGGTTTTCTACTATATGCACAGAAAGATGCAGGAACTGCCAATCTCACATTCCTCAGTAGTAAACCGTACCGAAGACCAGCTCATTTCTCTTCTGGCTACAGCTGCAAACTTCTCAGAAATAGAGGGAGCAGGCGCTTGGCGAAAGAAGTCCTTGCAAGCCGTAACAAATACTATACAACAGAAAATTCGACGCATGCAGAATCCAGAAGACTGCCGGACAGCAAAGTAGGTGCATTTGAAAATCTCATCTTTATGAAAAATAGACGGCTTAAAGTCAATCTCCAGAGCACTTGTTTGTAATCTTGACAAGGAGTGCGGCTTTGGTTGTCAACTCCATCATGTAGCGTATTGTTTTCTGACAGCTTTCGGCTCAGGAAGAATGCTGGTGCTCAACAGGGATGGTTCAGCATGGAGGTAACTTTTCCAGTCTCACGTTTATAACAAAGACTATATATGTAAAAAAATGAATATGCTAACCGGGTTTTATCAAACAGTTCGAATCGTATGCTCTGAAAAGAATGATTGGATTGCTCACACAGATTTTTGTATGTAGACTGCCTATCACCCTTACATTAGCCCTCAGTGCATTCGAACAACCTAGAGTAACAGAATTGTGAAGAGCAAAATACGCAAACCTTCAAATTTCATTGCTTTATACCGGTATTCAAAGAATCTTTGAATAGTTTTTATTGAAAAATTTCTGCTAATGTCTATTTTCTTTGCTGCGGCTCAAGATTCGACAGAAACGTACTGTTGTCTCTGTATCATTCTTTTCTTTTGGAACTTCAGTTTTGAAATTATTTCGTTTTAATTAGGGCAAAGCTTTGAAACGCACACGTTCTTTATTCGTTCACTCTAACTGTCTAATCTATACCAGTAAAAATCTAAACGTATGGCATAAC